CTGCAGCTTCCTCTTCTAAATGCTGATCTGAACTGCATTAGGACAATGGTCACTAAACTGCAGCTCCATGAAACTGACTGGAATAAGTCAGCCTGCTTGAATGAGTGCATCTCAATCATATCCTATAGCTTAACTCTAGAATTCAAATCAGTGTAATTATGTTTTACAGCCACTTCAGACAAGGTCCATCAAACATTCTGTGGGAGCTTCCTCTTCTAAATGCTGATCTGAACTGCATTAGGACAATGGTCACTAAACTGCAGCTCCATGAAACTGACTGGAATAAGTCAGCCTGCTTGAATGAGTGCATCTCAATCATATCCTATAGCTTAACTCTAGAATTCAAATCAGTGTAATTATGTTTTACAGCCACTTCAGACAAGGTCCATCAAACATTCTGTGGGGGTGGGGGAGAGAATAAGAAGGAATATCTTCCTCATAACTAGCATTGTGCAATTGGCTGGACCCAGTATGGGGGCTCAGGGCTGTTACTATGTTCCGCTCAAGCAGCTGCTATTGGCCACTGCTAGAGATGGAGATGGGGGGGAAGAGAGGCAAAAGCTTATGTAAGTACTTTATTATAGTTCATTCCATACCTTCCCTTCCTCTGCCTCCTGCTCACTTTTTTTTTTTTTTTTTTTAAATGCTGGACTAATTCCAGTCTGCCTTGGCTCAAACTAAACTTGTGAAGTAACTAGTTTCCCTCATCTGATGTCCATGCACAGGGACAATCCAATGTCTGACATCTATGGAGCAAACTCCTACAACAGCTATCTCAAAGCTGCATGTCAGGCCCGGAGTGAGGGAGTGGCGAATTCACAGAGTGAGGACCATTTACAACTGAGGAAGGATTGGAATGTCTCCCTGGAGAGTTGCAAGTCAATTCTGGTCTGCACTGGGGTCTACAATCATCACAGAGCGATGCCTGCTGACCCACACGAAAGTGTGATAGAGACCGTGTTCCATGGGCACCGGGACTTTAACTTTGACCCTAGCCTAGTGGAGGCCTCTTATGTGGTGCGGGATGTGAATGAAGCTGTGGAGCTTGTCTTTGAGAAGGAGAGTTGGACCGAAGAGTGGCAAAATGTGTAGTAATCTGGGTTCAGTGGGGGAGGGGAGACCTGGGATTTTCTGGGTTCAGTGGGGGAGGGGAGACCTGGGATTTTCTAACATAACTTGTACCACCAAAGAGGTGAGGTGAGGGGAATGTTCCTACTGCATTGTGGAGCCTGATGCCAACAGTCCCTTGTCTAAATATCAGTTGGTCAAGCTACTGCTTACAAGGTTTTAATAATAATCTAGTCTATTTGCACACTGCTGTTGCTCTTGTGAAGCCAACTGTATGGGGACTAGGGTGAGATGGATAATCATCATCACCCCCAACAGCCTGTGGCTGGAGCTCAGCTACCCAGAGTCTTTTTCCTTTCAAAGCTCCTTAGTGTTTGCAAGACTCATCCTTATTACGCCCCAGGCAGGAAGTCTTCTCCCCTTCTCCTCTCCCCCCTCTGCCCGGAAAGGAGCTGCCCTAGACCAATTATATCCTACACAAGCCTTAAAATAAGACGTAAGTGGAGCCTGTGCTCTCTGTCCAGGGTGAAATTACCCCCTTCTTTAGAGCACAGCTGGCAGAGATACTGCTAGTAATTCCTTTGTGGGGGAGTTCAGCTTGCATATCAGGTCTTGATATTGCTCCTGTAATCTCACTGGCTTTAGGATGGAGCAGAAATGCTGTTTCATATGACTCTAGCACCATGAGCTGGAGTGGCTGAGCTCACAGGTAAGCCTAGGCAGCCATCCCAACTGCTCCTTTTGGCAAAAGTGGAATGAAAGGTTTCCTTGGTTTGCCAGCAGTCCCTCCACCTTCCTCACGTGAAGAACCAACAGCATGGCCCTGAAGCTGCCTAGGAATTCATCTGGGATTATAAATTATTAGAGTATGGAAACTGAGCTTTTACAGCAGCAGTAGGTTCTGAAAGGAGAGGGTGGGGCGTGTATGTGTGTGGGCCTTGGCACCACCCATAAAAGTGATGTGCCCCCATGGAGGGATCCCTGGGATTTAGGGACAGTACTTCCAGCCTGCCCTCTATTGCTGACTGCTGTGATAGGTCACCCCTGTGATTTAGTCTCTTATGCTGCTAAATTGCCCTTTGCAGGAGGAGCCATAAAACAATCACATCCGCCAAGGGCTTCTTAGACATTCCTAGTTTTGTTCGCTGTGCTTCACAAATGCAGAAGTTTTTCCTAGCTGTAGCTGCAGCCTCAGGGATGCCCCTCAATTAAAATGTTTCTCTCTTCCCAAATTGCAATGGAGTGCTTGCCAAAGCAGTCACTTCTCCTCCTAGGCTGGCTAACAGCTTAATGTGCTGCAGCAGCAGTGCCAGTCCCTGCCTTAACTTTCCTTCCCTGCAATATGTGCACTTTAATTGCTTCTATTTCCTTAGCCCACACTATTGGTGGAGAGTTTTAGGCCCCTCTCTCTCTCCATTAAAAATCCTTTAGGAATTTAGCTGTGAAAATTTCTCAAGATGAAACTCATCATGAAAGGTGTCTACTCAGGCATAGCTTCATTTTAATCCTCAGTATAAGATGCATGTGATCCACCCCAGCAGCACCACAAAGGCTTCTTTCTATCAAGTAGAAATGCATGAGTGATTTGTCACTGGGGTTTTTCTTTGTGCTTCTGCACGGCTGTTGCTACTGCTGGAGTTACTGACTTGCAATGCTAAATGAGATCAGAATTGAGACCCACGATCTTTTGCAAACCATACCATTTTTAAGCAGCTGCTCATGCAGAGCATATGCTGTGATCTGTTCATAAGTCTATTTTGTTTTCAATTAAAATTGGAGTTCAGGTTTTGATTTCCTACCAACACCTTATTTTTCAGAGCTGCTTTTTCACAACACTAAATTAACTATTAGGTTTGTACAGGGAACTAGGTGCCTTCCCTTACACTTGAAACACTAATGAAAGGGGCAATAGTGGCTGAAGTGAGCTGTGTATTCCAATAGATGTTGGCAAAGAGGGGTGCAAACATGTCTTATGTCCCTGCTTAGTTACTGTGCTATTTTGAGGTGCAATACAGGGCAGTGAGGGGATGATCACCAATTGCCCAGTAACTTGGGATGGCTTATAATAATTCCTCTAATCTTTATCATCCCTATGCAGATTTGTTTTTCCATCTAACTGCACCTAAAATTTATTCTGCATGGAGGCATGTGAGACTATGCACCACCTATAGAAACAAAAAAACATAGCTGTGGGAACTCTGCTAATCAGCTTGGCAGCATCTGAATTTCTCCTGGGCAGCTGCACACAATGCTTTGCTGCTGTAGCTTTCCAAGTGGCCTCCTGTCAAACATCTAAGTTCCATGCAAGTCTCACCCCAAGTACTTGTGTCTAGCTACAGCTCTTGTCCAGTAGCTTGCTGCTAACACTCTCTATATATGATTGTTTCCACCAGCCTTCGTTACTGCTTGCAGGGTGATCCTAACACACTCTGGCTATGTCTACATTGGCAGCTTCTTGTGCAAGAACAGGTGTTCTTGTGCAAAAACTTGCCTGCTGTCTACACTGCACGTGCGTTCTTGTGCAAGTAAATTTACAGTACAGCGTTGTAGAACAGGGCTTCTTCCACAAGAGTTATTCCTCTCCCCATGAGGAATAAGCCCTCTTCCACAAGAGGGCAGTGTAGACAGACAACATGAATTTATTGCGCAAAAAGCCCCTATGGTTAAAATGGCCATCAGAGCTTTCTTGCGCAAGAGAGTGTCCACACTGCCATGTGTAGCAAAAGCACATGCCAGTGTAGACGCTCTCTTGTGAAGACTTTTTGCGCAAGAACTCTTCCACAAAACAGTTCTTGCGCAAGAAGCTGCCAGTGTAGATGTAGCCTCCTAGTCCTGGATTGTGTCCCAAAAGATATGTTCTATTGCCCTTTAAAGTGATCAACCTAGTCTGCTACTTTAAGTTACCCAAACAATTCACAGTGCTGGATTAGTTTAAAGAATAAAACAAGTTATTTATTGACAAGATTAAGTACAAGTAATGAGGTATTAAAGTTTGAAATGGTTACAAGAAAAATAAATATAAAATGCTTTCTGGTCTTCATCTTGAACTTACTCAAGTTTGCTAAATCCCTTACCAAATACTTTCAGTATGCTGCTGATCAAAATCAGATCAGGCTTTGCTCTCCTAGGCCAGTGGCTCTTTTTGTCTTAAATGAAAAGAGTTGGATATGTGGGATATGAAAAGTTGGATATATGCAAAAATCAGACCTAAAGCACTTTATAATGGCCTACCTATATTAGGGATGTGAACGTGTACCCATACACAATTAAGCAATGAACTTGGGCTTATCAATTAATCTTAATGGTTATACAGAGGCCTCGCCTGATCAGCAGTGAGGATGGGGGGAGCTGGCTGATTGTCTCCCCATCATTTCCTCCCACAGAGTACTGGCTCCTGCCTGTCCCCTCATCCCGCTGGCGTGTGAACGCTGTAAACTTCAGTGGTTACATGTTTACAGAAATAAATGCATTTCAATGTCCCTACTCTGTGTCAAACATTTTTGTCTGCTTTTGTTGGCCCACCTTACAGGACTTGTCAGGGTTTTGGTGGGGGGAGTTTCCGACAAACTAGACTAAGAGCAGACTATTAACTTTTAGGAGGATAGGGCTTCACACTTCAAAACCAAAACAGCTTTAACATAGTATTTCCTAATGCAATCATTCTAAACTCACAATAAGGTCATGTTTTACAGCTGATCTAAAATACATATCAAAGAAATAAAATACCTACTTTCTTAATGGGCATAACCAGAGCTCGACAAATCCATGTATCTACTTGCCCGTAGCCAGTAGATTTCAGCCCATTGCCCCGTTCACCGGTGGCACGTGCATGCGCAGTGCAGCTCTTGTGCAGGCGTGGTGCGGGGCTGGTGAGTGGATTTCACCACGATTTGTCGTGCCCTGGGCATAACAGTCTGTGGGCACAGGTGCCCAAAATTGCAATAGTGTACAGCTGGGAAACAGCGCTTAGCGGTTTACAGTCTAATTGTATGTCTCAGATGTGTGACAGCAAGTTCTTAAACATACTTAGACTGTACAGCTATCCACAAAACATACATAATCACACAGCCAGGGCGCCTCTGCTATGTGCCCACCCCTGCTCCACCTTGTTCCCACTCCAGGCCATCCCCTGCCTCTTCCAGGCACTACTCAGCTCCCATTCCCCCACGACTTCTGGGTAGTGCCAGCCGAGCAGGGTTAGTGGTGCTATCCCTGACCTTGTGACACCCAGGTTCCACTTCCCCCTGAAGCATGGGTGGGTCTGGGCTGACTGCCCCAAAACATCTAATGGACAGGATGGCTCTACATCCAGCTTTATTAGCCTGTAAGTACATAGGTATCCATTTGCTACAGTGCCCTTATTTCACTGATTCTGCCCTTGAACTGGTCCTCCAGCTCTGTCAAAAGAGCATTAATATTGCTGCTGCTGTTCTGTTGCTTATATCGTAGCAATTTAACGCTTTCTTCCTTCCCGCTTCTAGCCACTCTGAGGCTTTCGTCGCATACACACATCAGTAAATTTTCACTCAGAAGACATACTAAAGCCTATCAATTAATCTTAATGGTTACACACAGCCCCTCCCAGCCCCAGCTGTATCAGAGGTGAGGGTTGGGGGGGGGATGCAGGAGGTGGTGCTCAGAGGGAGGCAGCGGGAGTTTGGTGGAAATGCCTCCTGCTTCCCGCCAGTAAAACCTTGGCAAGCCCTGTAAGATGGGCCAACTAAAGCAGACAAAAATGGCTGACACAGATTTGGGATACTGATTTTTTGTAAACGTGTAATCCCTGAAATTTACAGCATTTACACATGGGGAGGAGGGGTAGGCAGGAGCCAGTGCGTGTAAGGAGCCAGTGTGCTGTGGGTGTGACTGGGGGAGGAGGGCAGTCAGCTCTGCGAGCTTAAAAGCTGGTTCTCCATGAGCACCAGTGCCTGCCTCCCCCTACCCTTACCTCTGATACAGACAGTCAACTAGTGACTCGACTAGGCATTTCTCCCCCCAGTTACACATGGGGAGGAGGGGTAGGCAGGAGCCAGTGCGTGTAAGGAGCCAGTGTGCTGTGGGTGTGACTGGGGGAGGAGGGCAGTCAGCTCTGCGAGCTTAAAAGCTGGTTCTCCATGAGCACCAGTGCCTGCCTCCCCCTACCCTTACCTCTGATACAGACAGTCAACTAGTGACTCGACTAGGCATTTCTCCCCCCAGTGCAGTGGGAAAAAAGGCCCGAGCGGGAACAGAAGCCGTCCCTGCACTCCCCGGTTTCCACTGTGACCGCTTCAGCCTTTGAAATGTACAAGAGCTGAATGTTCAAAGGCTGACCTGGGGACTGCTTAAGTCCTTGCTGGCTCCGTGCTCCCTCTGGTGCACCCGTTTCCCCCTCTATCAGAGGCAGCAAGGAGCAGGAGGGGGAGCTGGTGCTGAGACAGCCAGCTTAAAAGCCAGTTCTCCACCCCCAACACTGTCTCTGGGATGCTGCCTGGTTTCCCTCCACCCCCCCACTTGTCCACTATGAACAGAGGCTGCTCTGGCACCAGCCCCTGTTTGCGATGGACAGGGCTGTCCATAGCGCACAAGGACTGCTGGACTCAACACAAGCTGGGATCCCTCTGATTGCTGAACCTCTGCACTGTAAATGTGGTAAGAGCCCAGTGACTCTTACTACATTTAAAATGCACAGCTGCAACACAAGTGGTAACTGGAGCTGATATAAGCCAGGATTGCTCAGTCCCGGCTCAGGCTGGCTCCTGGCGCTACCCCTGCTGCAGCTCTGTAAAGCACTAATCATTTGTATCAACTACACGACAATGTGGATTGACTATACGATTAGCCTGATAACTGCATTTCAACATCCTTAGTTCAGACTGGTTATTTCTTTAATCCTTATCAGCCAGTCAGCTTCAAGCCCTCTGGCAATCAGTGGCAGATTTAGAGTTAATGGGGGTTCTGTGCTCAGCTTCATTCCTCCCCTGCCCCCGGGACCCAGCCAAACAAAGAACTTTCACTCCTCCTGCCCCTCCCATTTTTCATTCTTTTTTCTTTGTTCTCTTCCTATAGTATAAGAAATAAATGAAAATAAAGTGAGGTACCTTGATTGTTTTTGTAAGCTAACTTTTTTTTCCCCTATAGACCACTTGAAAATTTCTGAGGGTCTTAGTGGACCATTTAATGATCATTCCAAATATTGTTTGTACCATGAACTAACTATTGTAAAGTGCTTTGGATATGAGCGCTTTATTAAAAAAACACCGTAATAACCTTTTGTCAGTTTACCTGAATGGAGTTCTCGGAGCAGAGTTAAGAACTTCTGATCTAGATGAAAGCTTTTATTTGCATTAAGCTAATGTGAACAATGTGTAACAATAAAATGTATAGCTACTGATGAATGGAAAAAAATTAACTACCTCTGAAGAAATGTATTCAATTAAAAAAAATTTATTCAGCTAGCTTTCTTTCAACACTTTTTCTTCACTAAATCATCAAAGAAGTCATCATAAGTAATATTTTGTAAAGAGGCACTTTCAATTGTCACTATTGCTGAACTTGTCAAATGTTCCTGACTCATCATATTTCGCAAATAATTTAACTCGTTTCAATACAGAAAAAGAACATTCCCAAGAAGCATTTGCGACTGGTATTGTTAAAAATATTTCCAGAATGGTTTCTACATTTGGAACGATTGCCTGCAAACTGTCATATACAAGTCTATACAAATCGACTGGTGAGCTCTAAGCACAGACCTCACCATTTTGAATGAAATGTTTCACTGTATCTTCAAAAAAATGTGTGTTTATGTCCTCTCAGTAGAATTCATTTAATTTCTTACTTTAGTGGCTTTTAGCATCTTTATCCATGCTTCTGTCAAAAAACATGCAAAATAAATCAACAGTTTTCTTTAGAGATTCACCTCTACTCTGCAACTGCACTATTAGTTGCCTCAAATAACACTGCTGGTCTCAATGATGATCTCTTCCCATTTAAATTGATTTCATTATCTCTAGATTCATCGAAAAATAACTTCCTGGTTTTTTTTTATGATTCTCATCAGATACATCAGATACATCAGAGGAGTCTATAGTCATTTCAAACTTCCATGACAAAACTTGTAATAGAGGCTAACAATACATTCAATACATTTGCATCAACTTTTTCCAGTGATTTGATGACAACATTAATACTTTGAAGTAAACGGTTCCACAAAATAGTAAAAACAGCAATATCATACTTACCAAACTTTTTTGCTAAGGATTTTCCTTCTGTTTTTGCACGTAGTTTTTTTTCAGAATTTATTGTGGCTGTGTCCAATAAGGTTCTCGTTACAACACCATACCTCATTTTCAAAGCCAAAACAGCGTCTGTACGAGCATACCACCTGGTGTCACACATTCTT